CAGGGGAGGGGCAGAGCCCAGATAACCCCAGTTGTGGGTTTCTCTAGGTCTGGATTGAAGGCACATGAGATATTTCATGTTTGGACTCAGGTGTTTATTATTTCTTATCATAAAACAGTCTCACTGCTGTGAGTTCAGCAGCTTTTCATTAGAAGGTACAAAATGGCCAACAATCTCTTGTTACAAGGTATTTTAAGACTAAACTGTCCAACTAAGAACTGACAGCTAGATTATTTTCCCTTTTAACCCAACAACTGATCCCACAGAGCTGCAATGGGGACTTTTCTGCCCAATTGCAAAATGCCACCCAAACCCATGAAGAAGAAGCATGAAGAAACCCAGGACAACACCCTGTGCCCTCCATCTTGCTTGTGAAAAACGCCAATCACTTCTTTTTAAAATTTTTAAAGTTTAATAGTAATAAAATGGTTATAAAAACAGTAATACAATTAGAGTAATGATAGTTTGCACAATTTGAATTAGGACAATATGAGACAACAAGTACAAAGAGTTATGGACAGTCCAGGTACCTCTTTCTGGGCAAAATAAGCCTGAAAAAGGACCCACATTAACAGAGGATTAACCCTCAAAAACAATAGCTTGTTGCGTATTCATACACCTCATTAGTGATGCATAAATTCCATTCAAACACAGGATTCTGTCTGGTCAGTGTCAACTTCTTCCTCCGAATCCTGACGGTGCCTTCAAGGGGGGAAGAAGTTCATTCCCTTTGATAAGAGAGCAGGAAATTCTCTTTCTCTGAACGATTCAGGTGTCCTGTGGCTGGTATGTCACTGTGAGTCCTTTCTTTAAAAAAAAAGTATCCTACATAGCACAGTTTCTATTTTAACATTTTTATATAACCTGAAATTATGTCTAACACACTACTTAAGAGAATTAATACAGCATTACTAACACAACACGTATAATATTCAGTTTAATATTTGCGAAAAGCCAGTCATAAAATACGTGCATTTTTCACATTGCTCCTATCCACAACATACTAAAAACCCCAAAACCCAAATTTCTCACCCAGTGATACACCTACACTGTTTTCTATAATCTATTTCGTACTTTTTGTGGGTTCTAGTCTATTCTGGAGTTCAGGAAACTTTCTCCATGAATGAGGGTCAGAGTCAGGGCACCCTAGAGCAGACACAGAAATATTTCCTGTGTACTCGGAGTTTCCACACAGAGTGTCCCCACTCCTGCATCCCGCACATCCCAGCTTGTCCCGGCGTCACTTTGCCCAGCTTTAATTCCCTGGCACGCTTGGCTGAGCGCTCCCCACCCCTTTTTTGCCGCCTCCTATGGCAGGAGGGAGCACAGGAGCTTTTGCCTCGCTTTTCAGCGGCTCCAATGTCATTGCCTTGGCGACCGGGACGCTACTCCCGTGTGCAGGGCACTAAATAACGCAGATCCTCAGTCCCAGGCCTGCGGGAAACCTCTCAAAATTCAGGTAAGAGATTTTAAAAACCCTACAAAAGGAAGCCCCTTGCTCTGGGGGTGTGTGAGTTTCTCTTTAATGCAGCTGGAGGGTGATTTGTGGTGGGGTTGTGACACAAGATTGAAGTTTTCTGTTAGTTCTATTAGTTTGACGTTTCTATTAGTCTATGAAGTTTCTATTAGTTTGCCTTCTTTAATGTTTCTGTTTCATACTATTTTCCCCTCTTGCTTTTACGAATGAAAAGCCATGTTTGTATCTTTTATGGGAAAAAACCTCCAGATATGAACCGGACTGGTGCTTTTATGGAAAAAACTATTTTGGAAAGTGAAAAGCAAGCCATGCTTGTATCTTTTAAGGGGAAAAACTCCAGATACCAACTGGACTGGTGCTTTTATGGAAAACTTTCTTGGAAAGTTTGCTTCCAAGTGGTTTAACTCTGGAGTGAGGGCACTTTTGGAGGAGCCTTGAATGGGAGAAGCAGTGGAGGGGCTGGATGCTGGTGGGATGCAGGGATGTCAGGGATGGAGGGGGATCAGCAGCCTCAGCCTCCTGCCCCATCTCAAGAGAGAGGATTTCTCTCTCTTTTCCTTGGGAAAAAATTGTTGATAAGCTGCTGGAGCCCATGGAAGGGTGCTGAGATTCAAAGTGTGCTGCAGGAAAGCTCCCTGGCTCTCCGTTGCTTTCACAAAGCTCATTTTGAATTTAACATTCTGGGACGGATGAATGGTAGCACAGGGCAGTGGTGGCAAAGTGAGATTGGCAGCATTTTTTGCAGACATTTGCTGTGGGATGGATGAGCCTGATGGGCCAGATCCCAAATCATGGAGCAGCTCTGTGTGAGAGGTGGAAACAGCTCTCACAACTCCTGCTTTCTCAGAGGGTCCTTAGGAATTAGTTGTAGCCCTGTTAGATTGAGTTTGTGCATTTATCTCCCTTTCAGGTTGTCATGTTTCCTTCTGGGCTGTTGGAGTGGCGAAATAGCAGTGAATAACAAATTCTGAGCATTTCTGGTGCTAAATCTGAGCCCTGAATTGGATAGTGAGCCAAAGATGCTCCTGGTGCTAAATCTGAGCCCTGAATTGGATAGTGAGCTCAAAGATGCCTTCCAGAGAGTGCAGAAACCCAGTGAGCAAACCCAGCCAGCTCCCAGCAGGGCTGAGAGCCCACAGTGCCCTTCATTGTTCTCACTGTGATGAAAAAAATTGAGTTTATAATCATCCCAATAATCTATTAGACCTTATTAATCATTCTAATATTTATTAGGATTTCTGTTTTATTTATTTTGTGACCTCTGTGGCCACAACACGTGAGTGAGGCATGGTTGGATGGGCTGAGGTTCATCTCTGCTTCTCCAGGGATCATTCCAAAAATCTATTAGACCTTATAAATAATTCTAATATTTATTATTATTTATAATTTTTTTATCATGTGACTTCTGTGGCCACAACACGTGAGTGAGGCACGGTTGGATGGGCTGAGGTTCATCTGCTCTGCTTCTCCAGGGACTTGTTCTCCAATATTGATGAAAAAAATGAGTTTATAATAATTCAAATTATCCATTAGACCTTATTCATCATTCTAATATTTGTTAGAATTTTTATTTTATTTATTATGTGACCTCTGTGGTCACAACATGTGAGGCACGGTTGGGTGGGCTGAGGTTCATCTCTGCTTCTCCAGGGATCATTCCAAATATCTGTTAGACCTTATTAATCATCCTAATATTTATTAGAATTTCCAATTTACTTATTATGTGACCTCTGTGGTCACAACACGTGAGTGTGGCACAGTTGGATGGGCTCAGGTTCATCTCCTCTGCTTCTTCAGGGAGTTGTTCTCCAATATTGGGGTGGTTGTAGGAACTTTGGTCTGTGCTTTTCCTTCTCCCTTTGTCTTTGGGGCGGGTTTTTCCACACCACCATGAAAAACTGAGTATGTGGAGCATTTCCACGCTAATCTTTGGGCATTATTTCAGTGGCTGTTCACAGGAAAGCTCCATGGGCAGAGGGAAGCGGAGCCAGTCCCGCATCCCCAAGGTGGCCACAGAGGTCACATAAGAAATAAAATAAAAGCATCCTGGGGCTGAGCTGGGTCCCACGGGGCTCACAGGTGGGACATCACCTCCTGGCAGGTTTTCTCTCCCTGCTGCCGGGCTCTTTTCCCATGTGCAGCCTCCCTGCAATGCCCTGACAAGCAACAGAGGGAAGCAGCAACCCAGGGAATGCTGGAGCGCGGCTGAACGCCGGCAAATCCCATTGCAACCCTGGATCTCAGCACCACCCTCTGGTTTGCACTTTTTGGTCTTTTTTTACCCTTAGAAACCTGCAATAAATCCAGTGCAGGTCCCTCCCGAGCTGTGCCAGCCATGCCAAGCATCCCCCATTGCCTCACCAAGGTGGGAGGGTGTGATGGTGTTCACAGGGATGTCAAGATGAGGGAAGAGATGAGGATCTGACTCCATGTTTCAGAAGGCTTGATTTATTATTCTATCATATATATTACATTAAAACTATACTAAAAGAATAGAAGAAAGGATTTCATCAGAAAGCTAAGAATAGAAAAACAAAGAATCATAACAAAGGTTTGTGGCTCAGACTCTCTGTCCGAGCCAGCTGGGCTGTGATTGGCCATTAATTAGAAACAACCACATGAGACCAATCACAGATCCACCTGTTGCATTCCACAGCAGCAGATAATAATTGTTTACATTTTGTTCCTGAGGCTTCTCAGCTTCTCAGGAGGAAAAATCCTAAGGAAAGGATTTTTCATAAAAGATGTCTTTCATAAAACATCACAATGCTTTCCCAGCTTCCCAAATGTGAAAGCCTCCAGCAATCCCTGAAAAACTTTGGGGAACCAGATAAACTTTGGGGAATGCTATTTGTACGTAAATTGGTTGGCAAATTCTTTACCAAGGTGCTTGGTGCTGGGCTGTCACTCTTGCTGCAGAGGTGATGAGCAGGGATCAGTGTGTCACAGACATCTTTTATGAAAAATATTTTTTTTTAGGATTTTCCCTCCCGAGAAGCAGAGAGGCCTCAGGAACAGAATGTAAACAATGATTATCTGTTGCTGTGGAATGCAACAGGTGGATTTGTGATTAGTCTATGTTAGATGTTTCTAATTAATAGCTAATCACAGCCCAGCTGGCTCAGGCAAAGAGACTGAGACAGAAGCTTTTGTTATCATTCTTTTTTATTCTATTCTTAGCTAGCTTTCTGATGAAATCCTTTCTTCTATTCTTTTAGCATAGTTTTAATATAATATATATCATAAAATAATAAATCAAGCCTTCTGAAACAAAGTCAGATCCTCGCCTCTTCCCTCATCCTCAGACTCCTGTGAACACCATCTCAATCAGAGCAGCAGGGATGTGCTTTAACAGCACCCACCACCCCAACTTCCCCTTGTACCCCTCAGCTCAGAGCTCAGACACCAGAAGAAGCTGGCGTGGCTTTGCTCAGCCACAAAGAGTGAAAGGGAACTTCTGAAACGCCCTTAAAATAGTCAGATTTGTTCCCTTCTGAGAACGAGAGCAGCCACGTGGTTGGAGCTGGTGTCACCCTGATGACCACACAGCCGGGGCGGTGCAGAGGTGCTTTCTCCTCGGGAGGAAAAGGCCTGGCTGCTTCCTGCAGCTGCTCTGGGCAGGGAAAGCAGCATGGAAGAGGGGTAAGAGCGCCAGCAGTGCTGTTCTGTCACTTTTATCATCTGTTCTGGGCTTCTCTCTGAGCTGCTCGTGGCTCCTTTCGTTTCTCTGTGTGTGTGTCACACGTGGGGTGAGGAGGGATGGGAGGACATCAGGCTCTGCTTTTGGCTGTCCCTGACATGGCAGGCGTGAGGAATGAGCCCTTTTGTGCCCTCCTGTGCCCTCCTGTGCCCCCGTGTGCTTGGGAATTCCTCCAGGCAGGGCAGCTGTGGATGCTGTGCTTTGTCGAAACTGACGGGGAAAACTTTGCTGCTTTCATTTTAACTCCCTCCCCTGCATCCAGACAGTTCCCAGCTGAGTCCCAGGGGCCCCACCTGAGTATCCTTGGCTCAGGGATCATCCCTGGATCAGAAAGCAGCTGACCTGCGCTCCATCACCCCTGGATTAGACAGCATGCCTGGCTGCACCTTCAGGAACATCCCTGGAGCTGCTGCCCTGCACTGGAGCATCCCTGGATTAGGGAGCAGCTGCCCTGCACCCCCAGGAGCATCCCTGGCTCAGGAACATCCCTGGCTCAGGGATCAGCTGCCCTGCAATGGAGCATCCCCTTTCTCAGCCCTGCCCTCAGCATCTCCCGCCCAAAGCACAGGAAGTGTCAGGTTTTCGCCATGAGATGGGATGCTAACACCAACAAAGGGGAAAAGGGACAGCCAGCCGTGCCTGGGGGTGTCAGACAGGGCAGGGGAGAGGTGCTGCTGCCTGCAGGGAGAGGCTGAGGGAGGAGGATGATGGTTGCCCACAGGGGAAGGCAGCACGAGGCTCAAGATGGCTCCGAGAAACTTCCGGCTGCAGCTGCTGGCGCTGAGAGGCTCTGGGCACATGGGGAGAGCTGGGCTGGGCTGCTTTGCTCCAGGAATCCTTCTGCAGGGACAAGGGGATTGGCCTGGGCTGAGCGTTATGTTATGGTTCCGGTTCTGGTTATGACTGTGCAGCAGCAGCCAGGAGGGGTTGGGTGAAAAACAGGTTCATTTCACTGAGCTTGGCTCGTCCCTGCCTGCTGGGCTGTGGGCACTGTCCCCCACCATGGCCAGTGCTGTGGTCACTCAGGATGGGCTCTGGGGGGCTCTGGTTCTGAGTGTCCCCCAAAATGGCCCCTGTGGGTCTCTGGCCCTGGGTGTCCTCATGATGGTTCTGGGGGAATATAGTCCTGGGTGTCCTTCACGATGGTTCTGAGAGTTTCTGGTTCTGTGTGTCCCCAAAATGGCCCCTGGGGGTCTCTGATCCTGGGTGTCTCCCACACTGGGCTCTGGAGGGTTCTGGTTCTGAGTGTCCCCATGATGGTTCTGGAGGAATCTGGTCCTGTGTCCCCCCAGATGATTCTGAGGGGCTCTGGTCCTGAGTGTCCCCCACGTTGGGCTCTGGAGGGTTCTGGTCCTGTGTGTCCTTCCCGATGACCTCTGGGGGTCTCTGGTCCTGAGTGTCCCCTCAGTGGTTCTGGGGTCTCTGGTCCTGAGTGTCCCCTCAGTGGTTCTGGGGTCTTTGGTCTTGTGTGTCCCTCAAAGGGACCCTGGGGTCCCTGACCTGTGTGTCCCCTGCCATGGGCTCCAGGGGTCTCTGGTCCCTGCTGTGCTTCTGGGAGGGAGTTGGGATTAAGGGATTCCTTGGAGAGCTGCTTTGCTGGAGTGAGATGGCACAGCACAGCGTGGCACAGCACAGCACTACATAGCACAGAATGGCACAGAATAGCACAGAATGGCACAGCACAGCACAGAATGGCACAGCATAACACAGAATGGCACAGCCCAGCACGGAATAGCACAGCACAGAATGGCACAACCCAGCACAGTACAGCACTGAATGGCACAGCACAGAATGGCACACCCCTGCACAGAATGGCACTCTGGCAGCACTAACCCTGCTCTTTCCTTTCCCCCAGGGTGATCTATCCTCTGTCAGACTCACCTGCTCTGAAGATGTCCCAGCCGTCCCCAGCTGATGAAGGCCCCACGTTCGAGCACCTCTGGAGCTCGCTGTGAGTGGGGTGTGCTCATTCCCCATGGGGGCGTTCAGAGGCAGTTTTGGCTCTGTGACAAAGACAAATTTCCTTTTGCAACCTCTGCTTTCCACAAACCTCTTTTCCACCTGGCAAATTTGGCTCCCTGGTTTCAGATTTTCTGCTCATGGCATTCCATTTGCCACGTCTGTCCCATGGGTAGCAATGCTCCGGGGCCAGAGCAGAGCTCCCCTCAAGCTGGAACCCTGAATTCCAAAATTAAACATCTCCCAGCCTCACCAAGATGTTTGCAAGCCTTCTGGCCTTTGAGCCTCATGCTCTAATCCAGCAAGGGAGAAGGATTGTGCTTCATTTAATCTTCCTTCCTTGGTCCTCTCACGTAAAGGCATCCCAAGGTGACAGATATGCTGGAGTAGCTGGGTGGGTGCAGAATTTCCTGCATCTACAGCTCTGCCAGGTGGAAATTAAAGCAGAGGATGGAGGAAGAAGTTGGGAAAGGGAGGAGGTTTGGGGAAGGGACAAGGTTTGGGAAAGGGACGAGGTTTGGGAAAGGGACGAGGTTTGGGAAAGGGTCGAGGTTTGGGAAAGGGACAAGGTTTGAGGGGACTGTGAGTTTCTGGGGGTGGTGGTGGTGGCACAGGCTGTGCTGGAGAGCTGGGGGATGACAGTGCTCTCACCTCCTGCCCAGGGAACCAGACAGCACCTACTTCGACCTGCCTCCAGCCAACCCCAGCAGCAACAATGAGGTCTCCAACAGCACAGAGGTCACCATGGACGTGTTCCAGATGAGAGGCATGACTGACTCGGTGATGGTGAGTGTAATCACATAGCAGGGATTGCACTTGAGCTGGGCACATCCTTGAATTCCCTGCAGGGATGGGCTGGGGGTTCTGGGGGAGAAACCAGCCTTACTGGGGCAGGGTTAATCAATGGCACAAGGGTCAGTAAAACCGACTGTTTATGTTGGATGACATCAGTGCAGGCAGCAGCGGGGCACGAGCTCTAGGTGAGTACCAGCACAGCAGCAAAGTGTCATTCACTCTGGGACAAAAGCCATTGTGAGCTGCTGAGGAGGCAGAGCTGCTGGAGCGACACTCCGTGCTCCCAGCACAGCCTCAGGTCCCTGCCGCTGCCTTTCCTGCCAGAAACCTTTGCTTCTATCTGAGACAAAGTCTTAGAAAAGCATCAGGGCAGTGTAAGACATCCCGGCCGCCTGGGCGTGTTCAGTGATGCTTGGGAGCATCTCTGAGGCTGCCCCGGCTGTTGGCTGCATCTCCCTCTGAAAAATCTCGATTTCCCTCCAGAAAATCTGTTTCCCTCTGAAAAATCTCTATTTCCCACCAGAAAATTGCTGTTTCCCTCCAGAAAGTCACTGTTTCCCTCTCCGACAGCTTGCCTCCCCTCCCCCAGCGCCTTTTCCCTCGCTTTCCGCTCGCTTTCCCTCCCTTCCCCAACCCTTCTCAGCGGGCAGGAGCAGGACAGAGTGCTGCTAATTGTGCCTGTGCCCCTCGCTGAGCGAGCATCGCCTTTCCCCTCGCTGCTGCTGTCAGCAAAGCTGAGCCCGGCAGGGCCGGGGCAGCCTGGGGTGAGCGACAAGAAGGGCTCTGGACCAGAAGGGCTCTGGTAATGGGATGCCAACAGCTGGAGGGGAGGGCAAGAGAGGGGAGGGACCACTCTGTCCATGCTGATTCCCACTGCACTTGGCACACACCTGCTGCTGGTGCTCGATGGCACTGAGACATGACTGTCACCCCAGTGCTCTGTCAGGCATCTATCCCTAACTATTGCTGTCTGTCTCTCTAGATGTCCATCCATCCATCCATCCATATCCATCCATATCCATCCATCCATCCATCCATCCATCCATCCATCCATCCATCATCCATCCATCCATCCATATCCATCCATATCCATCCATATCCATCTATCCATCCATCCATCATCCATCCATCCATCCAAAGACAGCTCCACATCTCCCAGACACGGAGCTCTCGTAGAGAGAGCCCTGCCTGCTCAGTGCCAGGGTGGGCACCTCATTGTGCTGGTG